CTAAAATGATACAGAAAAGGCAAAAATGTCACCTATGACCTAGATAATTAGGATCTCTTCTGTTGTAAATCTAGATAGTGACTGGCTTTTGGTTATTCTCCCTCCTTTTTCCCTTCTTTTTCATGCAGATTTAAGGTGTTTGGATTATTGAGCAGGGAAGGAAAGCAGGGACAATGGGGTGATGTCAGGTAAATAGGGCTCAGGACTTTTAATTTTTCTCCAGTATGTAAATCCTTAAGCTGAGTAAATTAACTCAATAAACTTGAACTCCTTCTTTCCACCCTGCAGCCTGTTCAGTGTGATCTGATTGAGCACAAAGCAATAAACCAATTGTGGTGCAGGTTATAAATTATTTTTCCTTTTATTTACATATGTGGAAGAATTTGCCGTGCACTTTTTAGCTGAAAACTGTTTCACTATAGGATTTGGATCCTAGTGTTTCCTTCGTGGGTTGCATGAAATCAATGATTTGAGTAATGGGATCTGCCATAAAACGGAATGTTCAGAAGAAGTTATGTCAAACGGATCCTGATCTTGGAACCTGGTTTCTCTTTCAGCACTTCTGAATTTGTACGAGTAAACTTCTAACCTCAGTTTCTTCACTTTCTATTTAAAATTATATAGTGTTTTTCAATCATCCGGAAGTCACGAAATGCTCTGGGGAAAAAACTTTTTATTCCTATCTTGACTGCAGATGTTTTTTTAATATAACATTGTTATTACTTTAATAAAGAAGAAAACTTATTTAGGGGTTGTATCTAAGCTTACATGTGGCCCTACTATAGTGAGGAACAGAGATTTTGGCATAGTTTAAATCAAAGGTCTCAGCAGAACATGACAATTTAGAGGAAAGTTGATGCTTAGATCTTGGAATTGGGAGTGATGGTTTGTTTGTAAATCTGTGCTCTTTAGTTTCCAAATTAGCTAAGGGCATGACACATATCTGCAAACCTGAAGTTATTAAAATCAAATTATTTCTTAGCTTTTAAACTCCTGAGCAGCTTTCCTACATTTAACTTTGCTTTGTTCTTGATGAGCTTTACAGGTCATGCTTGATCTATCAACCCTGCAATTGAAACTAAATTCTGGTTTGTTTATTCTCCCAAGTGACCAGTAGGTGCCAATAACAGTATTTCAAACTGTTAAATAGAGGTGGCAAGTTGAGCAAAGCTACATTGTCTGTTTTCTAGAGAGTTCTATTTTTCTCAGTGTTAATGTAGCATGAACTCAGATCTCATCGAAGGAGAGTTCATGTCACCTCCCCAGCCCTTCCTGTGACACGGCAAGTGCTTGAGAGTTGCAGTGCTGAGACCCTGATAGTCAGTGTCACCGATGTCTGCTGGGAGTTGCCTGTTACCACATACCTGCATCCATAGGCTTGGGATTGAGGGTGGGTTTTTTTGTCTTGGAGGGTAGAAACTTAAGAAAGCACTTGGGTTTTGTGTGCCAAGCCTTGCTTGGTAGAGTCTAGATTCAGGGCCTCTTGAATACTGCGGTGTGATGGTAACACAGAGAAAGAACCCAACAGGATCTACACCTTGCAGAAGATTTTTGTAGTACATTTGTGACCTCTTGCGAGGTCCTCAGGAGCCTTGAAAATGTGTCTGGAAGCATCCTCTGTTTGCTCTGGTGCTGGTTTTTGCCCAGGTGCTTTTACCAAGTGTACCTTATGGCAGAGGGTAGGGCATTAAATGGTCTTTGTGGTCCAGCTCAGGGTTAATGGGTCTCTGTTGAAAACAGCCTCCTGCCTTTTCAGGTTTTGTAGGAGGTGGAGGGTGGGCAGAAATAATCTATGAAGATGCTTAATTCTCTCCTTTCATGCCTGAGGGCAGCCTGAGGCCTAGGACATGTGGATAGAAGGCTGAGATGCTTCCAAAGAATCATAGAATCATAGAATGGTTTGGGTTGAAAGCGGCCTTAGATCATCTAGTTCCAACCCCCCTGCCATGGACAGGGACACCTTCCACTAGATCAGGTTGCTCAAAGCCTCATCCAGCCTGGCCTTGAAGAAGAAAGATTCTCCTCCTAGGAAGTTACAACCACACAGTTTTCAAGATTGAACTGAGAAGCTTTCATTGTAATGAAGCTTGCTGAGGTTTAAAAAAGTAAAAAGTAGTTTTTCTCCGTCTTCAGTTGGAGAGGGAAGAGCACAACCCCTGATACATCTCTCGGTTCTGTTGAAATCTAGTTCTTCTAACACAGGACAGTGACTTCTCCCTGAAGGTACAGATGGTAATTTGCAGGAGATATACCCTAGTAGGGAAATAACTGTTTGTGGTTTGCCAAGGGGAAGTATGATCATGAAATAACAGAGAAGCTGCTGCCTAGCAGCCGCCTTACTGCTTTGACTCTTCATGTGGGAGACAGGGTAGAAGTGGCTTGGTGACCCAGAACTGAGAGTGCTGCATTACCATGATACATGGCCTTTCCTGGCTGAGTGACCAAATAAGCAGAGCTTTTACCCTCTTGATATTCAATGGCCAGGAGTGCTCAAACTCCACTGTGCATTAGCGATTTGTTGGCACGCCAGGGTTTGAAGCCAGTGTCTGTTGAATGCAGTAGATGCCTGGAGTTCCAATCTAGAAATAAGGTCTGAAAAGCCCTGTTTATGTATACCCTCTGTCTTTCCTTGTTTACCCTGCTAGGGCAGGGGTAAGGCAGCTCATCCTTAGCCTGACAAAGTTGGGATTGTGCAGTTCATCTCCCTTGCTCAGTCCCTGCCAGCGCCTCGCCAGGACAGAGCTTCTTTGCTGGAGTCGAGCATCTCCCATGTTCCTGACATAACGTCACCTCACACGCTGCTGGGACTTAGGATAGACGCCGAGCTATAGACAGTACCAGGATTATTATGGTGCTGTTTTGCCTTTGATCAGTGCAGCAGAGGGTATGTGCTGGAAATCCAGGGATGTTCCTGGCAGATTTTGAAAGTCCCTTTGTTTCTGCTGCTGTGACAGTTCACACACAGCTTGACACTTTTCTGGTTACAGTTGGCTGGAGTGCCCTGGTCCGTGCTGCCTTTAGTCCCCTAGGACCTTGAACTTCTGTCTGCACTACTCCAAAGACAATGATGGAAAATGTCTTGTTTTATCTGAAGATGAATAATCAAATAGGCTGCAAGGGGAATACGATTGGGGGATGTGTGTGCGTGAGTGCCAAGAAACAAATCGAATTCACGTAGAAAGTTTGGACAGAGGCTGAGGAAGCAATCAGAAAAGGATCCCATCATGCTGAGCTTAAGTTAGGGCTGCAGCCTGCTCATGAAGTCACTACCTAAACAGCTGAACTTCAAAGCGTTCTGGGTCTCTTATTTCCTTAAATATGTTCTAGCATCAGCATGTTGATGTCTCGACATGTAACCTCTGTTGCACCTCTACCACCCTTTTATCCTTGCTTGGTTGGGTAACTTGCAATCTTACTTTTTAATAGAGAGGACTTCTAGTGTCAAAATGGGTACAAACCTCTGGGATTATATGTCTACATACTGCCCTTGTGTACAAACTACAACTGCTTCTGGGGTGAAGAAGAGTGCTGTAAGAAATTTATAGTATAACAAAAAGCAGCACATTGTGCCCAGTGGAAATTGTGGGGGGAATTTTGGAAGCCACAGAAGTAATTATTGCACTGTAGTTGGAATTCGTTTCTTAGGGTGCTGTGTAATCTCTCACCAAAACAAGCAAGGCCCTTGTAGTCTAGAATAGTTTCACCAAAAATGACAGCTCTAGCTTCACAGCACATCCAGGTTTCTTTCCAGAGCCTTAGTTTGGAAGTGATGGGATAAGCGTGTGCAGTGTGGTGAGTTATCAGCATAGCTTTCCATGGAAACTTGTTGGGAGGGCAAGGAGCAAGTGGGCTGTCTTGGATGATTGCCTTAGATGTTCTCCCTCAAAAGCAGTGTTTGCCACTGATCTTCAGTGGATTTGAAATTTACTGTTCCTGTACTAAAACAGTAGCATGTAAGAGTGGAGGAGGACAAATCCAACAGCTCTTCTTTCCTCCCAAACTGCCTTTCTGTGCTTGTTGTTGCTGCTGCTGTCCCAGAGGTAGCTGAGCCAGGTAATGATAGCAGCTAATGGAGGCCAGGGAGGGTAAAAAGGGTTACTTCTTAACCTGAGTCCCAAGATTCTTCTTTGATTTGCTGTCTGCTTCCTCCAAAGCCATCCCGGAGGCCACCATTAGCATCAGCTTTCCTCCTACTCATCTCCTTCACCTTGTTTAGTAGAGAAATCACTAAGGGTATTTTGACACATTTTTCACTTTCTGCCCTGTGAAACAGAGCACTAGCAATATTAGCATATCTGGGGAGTTGTGGTTTTGTTAATTTTGGACCAGAGATGGAGTAGTTGTCAAAAATTTGGGGAAGTTTTGTTTTTTAACTTATGTACCTCATGAGTCAAACACCCCATTTTGTCATGGTGTCTGAGCATTTCATAACAGCCTAATGGTTTACATCAATAGCATCACCACTTTGCAACTGAAGGAGTTACTGTACCCTTGGGCTTTGAGACATCCACAGAAGCAGCATCTGTGGCAGAGCCTGAAGGAAAACCCACAGAAAAGTGTTATCAGATGCACTTCTTGTATTGCCTGTGTCTCAGTTCCATAGCAGAACCATCTGTATTGTTAAAATGCTGATTTGCTCTAACTCGAATTCCTGTTGACAGCCTCAGCCAAAAAGATCCATGCTGGGTTAGCCTGAAGACCTGAACTCTCGTGCTCTTAGAGGAATAACCAGTGGAAGACTGTCTCCTTTTGTGCAGGACAGTAAAAGGCAGACTTGGGCAGCAGCCTCTGTGTTGGGAGACAGTTTGGGTACTTTGTCTTAGTGTGGCAACTAATGGCTAAAAGTGGATAACTATTTTGTGAACACTTACATGATTGCATATCCCTAATTCAGAGCTCGCTCTCCACAAACTAGCAGAGAATACTTCAAAAACATGCAAGAATGGTTTTGGCCAGTGAAGGAAAGCCTGTCATGGATAACTGTGGTTACTCTTTTCTAGGTCCTGTGTTTAACGTCACGGTGCATTCTGACAGCCCGACGATTTACCAGGGTGAACTGGCAGATCTACTGTGTATTGTCACAACGGAAGGAATGGCACTTGAGCCAGGTATTTTGGCAAAATTATTTTACTTGTGACTCATTTGCCTTCACCAGGCAGAATAAAACCAGCAGTTACAACCCTATGTCCTTTGAGGCTGGAGAATTGAGAACCAGCATTGAAAGTCCTATAGAACTACATAAATATGGGTGAGCATGTTCGCTTTACACAGCCCAATTTAAAACAAGGTTTTTTATTCTACGTTCTGAGGGGAGTCGAAAAAATGTTCTTACTACTAAACCCCCCTATGCTGTCTCTACCAACTGACCCCACTGCTGGCAGTCTTAGCCTACAACCACTAGATGGGCTGTGAAAACTATTCCTGTTTCCTTTAATTGGAAAGGAGGTTCTTTGGCAAAACCTGTTAGGAGAAAGTAGTCATCTGTAAACAAATCTTAGCCACCTGACCAGTCAGCTTCGCACTTGAGAGTGAATTTAAGGCTTAATGTAAATCTAAAAATCACAATAATTGACTACTGCAGCCTAAATGCCAAAAATAAATGTTTATTGCTGATGCCCTCAGAGGTGAGCCTCCTTTTTTTTTGTGCGGAAGAAGGAAACACAGTATCTAATTGCTGTGAAAAGGATAGCAGACACTTTAAAGGAAAATTTTTATGGTGAGCTGAAAAGTTCAGGGAACTGCTGAAAACCTAGCTGCTTGCCAAGCATTGCCTGAGCTGCCTTTCATCAAAATGCTGTGAGAATAGCTCTGGTTATTACAGCCAAAATTTGGGTTTGGAGTTAGTTTAGGTTTTTTAAAAGTAATTTTTTATATATGTGAATATAAAAATGTGTTTAAAATAAATCTATAAATATATATGTAAATATAAATAAATAAATGTATATGACTAAATATAAAGATGCTATGATTCATGCAAAACTTCGAAATCTGTGTGTAAGCCACTGCAAAAGAGGTGCTGTGCAGAAAATATTACTTACAATGTAGTAGCTGATGAGATGAAGTACCGAGCTTAGTAAAGGCCCATCGCTTTGAAATTCCAAGATGTCTGTTCTACATTAAATCTGAGTGTAGCAGGGAAGCAATTTGCTAGATTACAGTTGTGTGCTGCCTGTGAAAAAATGATAGAAGTCTGTAGATTGTATTATTGAAATGCTTGGCAGGCAAGAAAAGCTGAGTAAACTTTATTGCTGTCAAAAGATTCATAGCCTGGGATATTGGACACGGTAAGCAGCGACCTATACCTCACTCTGTCCTGTGGTTTTGGCTCAGCAGGGAGCCTCTGCTAAGTTGAGGTGTGCCCAAACTCTTACAGGTATTGTTGCGAGGCAGTACCCAAAGCAGCTGGCTTCCTTTGCAAAGCAATAATTGCTGGCAGGGAGCAGCTGCTGCTTCTGCTGGTGTTTGACAGCTAAAATAAGCTTGGGGTTGCCTCGTTGAAAGAGGCCTCAGCATCCCTGACTCACTTCAAACTTGAAAAGAGGCCATTTAGTAACAGTGGGGTTCTCCTGTCAGTGCTCTGCTGCAGTTTGGTTGGTGGTGTTTTTTTGTGTTTGGTAGCTTGAGACTGGGAGAAGCACTGACAAGATGAGGATAATCAAAAGGATCGAAGTCAAAAAAGTGTCCTCTTTGAGGAGCTGCTCATTGGCACAATTAAGTTTTAACTGAGCAACTTCATAAGGGTTCACAGGTGTCTGTTGAATTGACAGGTGATGCCTGGATTTGGAAATTTTGCCATTTCCAGTGGTCATAAGCAGCCAGTGCACAGTTTTGAATGTCAGCACTGTAACCTGTTCCATAGCTGGCTAATATCCTCTTGAACATGGCAGATCTCTACTCTGTGTTTTTTGTTTGTTTGTTTGTTTGTATTGTGTGGTGGTTTGTTTGTTTTGTTGGTTTTTTGGTTGGGTTTTTTTTTGGGGGGGGGTGGGACATGCAGGGTGAGAGTCTGTAATGGGATAGATGAGAAACAGGCAACAGATATGGCTAGAATGGAGTAATGTCTGACATTGTGACAAGTTTTGAAGGAACCTTTCAGTCCATGCTGTGAGCCTCCACTTGCTGAATGAGCAGAATTTGAGCCCTAACCAGCCATGCTGTGTGAAGAAACTCCATCTGCACCTTTCATGAGGGCCTGAGAAGCTGGCCCCTCTCCAGTCCTTGCAGGTCCTCTGGATGAGACCTGCAGAAGAGCTGCAGGGAACAGCTGGAATCTATGCAACAGCTGTAGGTGTGCAGGCTTCCCTTGTCAGTCTGCCTTCTTGGCCTTGAGAGGAGGAGGAGACTAGAGCAGTGGGATAATGGAGCAAGTTGGGTGAAGAAGGGTCTTAAGATCTCATAACAAACAGATGTAGTTCCTCAGTGGTAAGCTTATTCCCCTCTATCCCATCTCTGATCTGTCTCTATGCTGAGTCAGTGTCACAATTTAATTCACAACTGGAACGGAGAACTTGCTTTTTAAACGAGTGACAAACATTAGACAGATTGTGAAAATAACAGTGCTATCTCATCTCAATGGGGAAATGAGGCACATTGTTAGGGAAAGCTTGCACCAGGTAATCAGATAAATAAAGCAAGAGCAGCCAGCATCTCCTAGAAGAAAACAGATGACAGCAGTACATACATGGTCTTTCCATTTGGGAATGTGATGAGAAAGGAGAGCAGTGCAATTGCATTTGACTCTCTTCTGAGAGGCATGATGGCTTTTAAAGGCCATATACTCTTCCGTTGTCAGAGCTGTGTTTTGAGCCCTCTTGTGAGCAAAGAAGGATCAGGGAATTTCATAGGGTGTCTTGTTAAATATACATCCAAAACACTTTGAACATGATTGCTGTGCCAGCCAGTTGCACACTTGTACACATAGGTACTTAACTTTGCAAGCATGCATGTGAATTAGTGTGTATGCTTCCTTTAAAAACTGAGGTGTCAGGTGCCACCTCTTTTCCCTCTTTGTATGCACAATCAGAAAAATCAAGTACTTCCAAGGAGCTGAGGAAAATTAAATGACCAAACGTCTTCGTTACAGTTAGATTGATCTATTTGTTTCTAGAAGTGTTCCTTGTGAGTTGGACTCTTGTCTGGTAGAGGCAGTTCACAGTACTCTGTGTGCGTGTGTTTGTGTGTACCCACTCTGTGGGAAATTTTCAAAAGGGTGGAAAAAGTTTTGGCATGACTGCTGCGTGCTTTAATTTCCTCTGCTTCTTTGAGACCCTGCTGAAATGGAGTGTGTATTGCTAAGCTCAGTACATGGCAGCAACTGCTCCATCTAAAGAAGTGCTCCTTTGGCTTGGCAGCTGTGGTTGGTGTTTTGAATTGATATGAGGGGATATGTGTGTGTCGGGGGGAATAGTAGTTGTTCTGTGCCCTGAAGATACAAAAGCTGCTTCTGATATTTGTGTTGAATGCACACTTTCACAAATGATCTCTCTAGATTTCCCAGATCACCCCTTCTTGGGCTATGTGCTTAGGGATTTAAAAGCGTTACTTACTGTGCCTGAAAGGAGATGGTTTTTTATCTGCTCCAGACAGACCCAGTGGGCACTCTAGAGAATTTAACAAAACCAGCTTGTTTACCTCTTGTATGGCTTGAAGTGGTTTGCTCAGCTCTCTAGGAAGCCCTATTCAACCCCATTTAAATGTAGTAAACAAAAAGGGTCTCAAATTTGTGATTCAGCACTGTAACAAGATGCTGAGAGCGCTCCATTCTAAGCAGTGGAAGTGTATGGTTCCTAAGAGCTGGTCTAGAAATCGGATTCCCTGTTTTTGAAGAGTGATTGGCCAGGGAAGCAGCTAAGACCCAGGCAGCTTAGTCCTGTGTGTCAAATTGAAATGTGCATAAAGATGTGCTTTACATGTTGATGATCCTCACTGAGGAGGGGAGGAAGCACGGCATCACTATTACTCTGCTCACAGAGCTCTGAAGCATCCCTCTCCCAGTGCTTTGTGTTCCTTTATGGAAGCAGCTGAGTTGCATGACCTGGGGGCACTGAGGTCCTTGATGGCGCTGTGAGCTTGGCAGTGGGATGCTACTCTTTCCTCTAATGTAGGGGACCTTGTCCAGGTGTCCCACTCACAAGGTTGTGGAGCATGAAAGGAACCGGTGAAAGAAACCTTTGTAGTGTTAAGTGTGAGTGTGGTTCTTGTGGTTGGGTTTGGTTTTTGTAGACTGAGGACAAAAATTACGAGTGACTTGTTGACATTGATGCCAGGTGTATGTGGAATGGTACAGATTCCTTTTGGGAAGCCTAACATATGACCTGTTTTATGTCAGTAAAACCATGTGTTGGTTAGCACTTCAGAGCTGCTAGGCATGTTCATCACTGATCTTTAGAGAGCATCTGATTTATGTCCTGGTTTTGCTAAATTTTCTTGCGTTTTTATTGCATGAAAACCAGAGATATCTAGAAATGAATCAGATGACTTTGCTGTTATGAAGCTAAATCAAAGAGGATACTGACAAGAGTATTCAGAGCCAAATCCTCCCTCTGACTGTCTGTAGTGAGTCACTAATTGCACACTGTGTATACTGACTAATAAAATATGTTGGCATAATACTGCTGTCCCATGTTGTAATTACAGAAGATATTCAGCTATTTCAAAATGACAGCAAGTGCCTGCACTCATCTTTGTTTGTGGAGGGAAAGAAACCTCATATTAACTGAGACTGGAAAGAAGGAATTCTTCAAAGGTAGCAAGTTGTCTGGGAATCTGAAGGCTAGATTATTTTTTTTTAATATTTAAATTTATTGTTTAAACCTTCTTTAGCAAGTGCAATGCTGTGCAGGTGTTCATATGCTCCTACGGTACCTGGAAACACAAGAGCTAGTGGCAGTCTTGATCTTTGGAAGGAATTGGTGTTCCCAACACGACTGTCTGTGGACTGGTGCTATTACCGTATTTGGCATAAACAGGCAGCAGAGATGAAGAGTAGTTTATAGAAACAGAGTGCTCTCCAGTAAAGGCTGTTTCCCCCAGGCAGTTGGGTAAGTACACAAAGCAGAGGTCAAAGTTTGGTCCCGTCAACTGAACGTGTGTTTATGGTAATTTTATTAACCTTGCTTTCAAGGGAGGTGGTCCGAGCGCTACACCAAGTAACTAATTGTAGAATTTGTAGTATGATAGGCAAGAGTGATTGTTGTGGGGGCTGCTGGTCCATATGACCTATGCTGACCTCCACGTAGGACTGAGAAACCTGCCTCTGCTGTAGGGCTGCAAAACGGGCAAGGTGCTCTCTTGAGGTTCTGTGCCGTCACCTCCAGCAGCTGCCCATGGTGGGCAGGGCAGGAAGCTGGCTGGTGTCTCAAAACAGTTTGATCAGCTAGCGTCTCTGATAGTAACATCTGCTTTCTCTTCATTTTTGAAGATGTGTGTAAAACCAGTGCACCTTACAGCGGAGTTATACTCCAAAAGAGCGAGTGGTTTTTGTCTGCAGTAAGGGGGAATGTCCCACCTGGCCAGCTGATGCTATACTTCAAGTAGCAGAGCTGTGGATGTCCCTTTACTTCACTTTACTTTAAAATATTATTTTAAGGTTCCCTTCCTTCCTGAAGTGTTAGCTTGCCTGATAGAGGCTTTAAAATTGTCTTCACTTTTCTCTGCAAAGAATTTAAGTACAGCAGCAGGTTAAGGGCTATAATTTTTCCATTAGCCTGGAGATCAAATGTGGAAGTTTAGAGAACAGCAAACTTAGACAAAAGATCAGTTTTTAAGTTTCAGATTGCCAATACTGTATTTTTCAGTAGCAAATGGAGGCTTGATATGTCCCCAAAATCATAGGGACTGTCTTAGTCTTAGGTGTGAAAAGGTTAATCCCTGTGTCTACACGCTAGCAGTACCCAAAACTCAGGATAGAAGTAGTCACCTCTGTTTCCAGTTTGGGCTCATCAGTTAGCTAATGTGCCAGGAAGGAAAACCTGTTGATGAGACAAGTGAGCACGCTCTCCTGTCTATGCTCTAGGTCATGTCAGGTTTCAGACTCTGACAGGTGTTGCTGGGCTCACATTAGCAAAGAATAGCAGTGATTTTTAAAGTAGATAACACAACGACATCAGCCTAATAGGGTTAAGACTGAGATCTGCTAATGGGATCAATAGGATCTTGCATGAACACAAAAAGAGCCAGATGTGCTGATGAACTCTGACTACCTGTCAGCTATGTTAAATGTGGAAGGTGCTGCAAGTGCATTTTATAGGCTGTCTCCTTGAGTGGTGTAACTTGTACAAGGCGTGATGGCTGATGATGCATGACAGTAACCCATGACTCTGGAAAAAATGTGTAAAAGGATCGTGGTCTGAATGCTTTTTATTTTTGTAGGTAATTTTTTGTGCTCAGTATAGAATCTCTGTATTCTTTCAGGCAGACTAAATATAAAGAACGGCCTTCTGGAAAGAGCCTTCTGACTTTGTAGTTGTGGAGGCCCTGCACGAGGATAGTGATTGCAAATCAGCGTCTGGTAGCAAATGCCTTGCACTTCCAATGCCTTTTCACTGTGGGTTCAGCATAGTTGCAGGAAAGCAAGAAACCTCTTCTTTGTCGTCCCTGTAGTAAGTCACTCTTTCTGTGCGGCTACATTCTTCCTGGCAGTGCATCTCACTGCAGTTCACTGTTGAATCTTCCTAGAAAGGACATGTTCAGGGCACACTTTTTTTTTTCTTTCTTTTCTTTTTTCTTCTGCTGTCAGACCAGTGTTGGCTATACTGCTTACAGATTAACCTTTCTGCTGACAAGTGGCACTATGAATACTTTTTAGAGCTCACCAACACGTCCAAATTCTTCTTTGTCCATAAATGCAGATGATATGTCCTTTGATGTCTCCTGGTTTGCGGTGCGCTCCTTTGCGTTGGACAGAGAGCCCGTGTTGCTGGCCTCGCTGGACCGGAGAGGGATTGTGACGCAGAGCAGGAGAAATGGGAGCAGTGATCTCAGCCTGGAGAGAATCAGCCCGCTGGAATTCCGGCTCCGTGTGCATGGCTGTGAGGACCACGACTTCGGGAACCACTACTGCGTAGTGACCCCGTGGGTGCGATCCGCCACCGGTGTATGGCAGCGGGAACCTGACATCAAAGCCAAACCCATCTTTCTATCTGTGAAAATGGATGGTAAGAGATTGCAACGTGTGTTAGGCAACTTTTTTTTTTAACACCTTGTTATGTCTTTCTGTGACAAATACTCCCCATGGCTATTTTCCAAGGTGCCTGTGATAATCTCATTAGACTTTGTTATCCTTTTCTGTTGTTTTGCAGCTTCTGGTTCCAGATTCTGTAGACTAGGTAGGCCTGAACAGATCATTCTCATCAGGCAGGGGTGTTCTCTTTCCTGATCATTTCTTAGTGATGTTTTGCATAGCTGGGGCATTTTTCAATCAAGGCATGGTATTCTATCCAAGTGGTAACCCTTCTGGTGCCTGCAGGAGGAAGCCTTGGGTTGCAGATAGGACGTGCTGAAGCAGAGTCGTGTTGTGGTTAATATCAAAGACGAGAACAGAAAGTCAGAGCTCTGACTCCTTCCTCCCTCTCCTAACCACAAGACGTGTTGCTCCCTGCACTTAATGGCTTCTCTGCTTTCCAACCTGAGTTGCAAGTGTTGCTAGACTTCATGAGAAGCAAGCTGTGTACTAGATATTGCATTCAGCATGTAGCTAAGGAGGAAAATTAACGCAGGAGGGGTTTGGAACTAGTTACTTTCTTCTCAGTATTTCCAGGAAAGGTCATACTAGGAAGTTTCATGAACTTGAAAGGAATTAGAAGTTTTTGTTCTCCCTACTGTGCAGATAACTATTATAACTGTACTTTCCAAACTCCTTACAGTTCTTGACCCTGCCTTTTAACTGAGCAGTAGGTGCCTGCAAATCAAATTTCTTGTTTAGGGACCAACTTTAGAGTTTGATTAGACAGGATTTCTGAGTGGCAGTGAATATACTGTACAAGTAGTTGTAATCAGGCAAAGCATACAGGAGTCCACTCCTTGCATTTTGAAAACATATTACAGAGTGCAGCCCCAGTCTGCCTCTGATGGGGAAACTTTGCAAGGCTTTTGTTTGCAGGAGCAGGTAATGGGATACCTCTTGGAACTATCTGTACATTGCTATCTTACTCAAGGTTCCTCTGGTGCTTCCAGCCTCCCCAGGGCTTTGAAATGGTGGAGGAAGAATTAGGGTGAGGAGGTAAAGGAGTCCAGTTGGAAACCAATTTTCCTAACCTCGAAAGACAGAAATCAAGAAGGAAAACTAGTGTAATTTCCTTCTGAAATAATTAATCTGCCCATGACTGAATAATGTGGGATTTTTCTCCTTTTTTAGGCAAGAACAAATAAAAGGAATCTCTTAATTTCTCAGTGATATCTAATACTTTTGCCTTCCTCTTTCAGTTCTGAATGCTTTCAAGTATCCCCTGTTGATTGGCATCGGTCTGGCCACTGTCATTGGACTCTTATCCTGCCTCATTGGCTACTGCAGCTCCCGTTGGTGCTGCAAGAAGGAAGTGCAGGAAACAAGACGAGAGCGTCGACGGCTCATGTCAATGGAGATGGACTGAGTGTGGGAGCCAGACACACATGCGTTTTGGGAGAGACTCACAGGGCTCTTGAACTGTGCTGAGACACTCGCTCACAGGCCCAGACAAGACAGTGCGTTTCCTCTCTGATTTCAGCCTGGACCTCAAGCTTCTCCTTGTTACACATCATGTCCTGAGAGCATTCGGGTCATATTTAGCGACTCAAGAGTTCTCCTTTTCCAGTGGCACTTTCTGCATAGGGATCATGTCCTTTTAATGTGCAAACTGTTGAGCCTTCTTTCAGCAGGGCCCTGTGACAAAATTCACTAAGGTTTTTGTTTGTTTGGTGGTTTGTTGGTTTTTTTTGTTCCATTCCCCACACTCCCCACCCCCTGTTTCATTTTGGAAAGATGTCCCTTTGTGAAAGCATGACGGGCAGGGTGATGGGTGGGAAAGGGGCTGGTAGAGGTGTTAGACTTTCATTGTATTAACCAATCTACTTCTCCCCTCTGCCTCATCGCACCATCTGGTTCCCTTTCGCTGTCCATCTTGATATCTCACAGATTTCTCTGTGTTGGGTTGAAGGTTGAAGGAACTTCCTCTGCTGGTGCCTTGTGAGGCTGTTCCAGCAAAGAATTGGTTTACGGTTGTCAGCATGCCTTCTCTTCCCTGACTTTCAACGGGTTTGCAGTTAACCCCAAAACATGACTTGCCTGGAGGTCTTTGAGACACTTTTAAAAAACTTTTTTTTATTTTATTTTCAGTGCTCAAAGCTTAGCTATGGTGAATAGGGGCTAACTTGGCAACCCTGAAGAGTCAATCCTCAGACAAGTATTTGTTGGATGTCTGCTTATGGCCACCTTCTCCCCCACCCTTCCACCTTCTTTTCTCCCCACTACAGCTGCTCACAATGTGCCTGAGACCCTGTTCTTCTTGTGGCAGGGGGGCATATGGTGTCTAGGGACAAGGCCGAGCCTTCTGCTGGCCTCGGCAGAGAGGTGGGAGACCTTTCCCCACTAGTGATGGTGTGACTTACTGGAAAAAAAAAAAAAACGAGATGAATCTTTGTTTGGCCAACTGATGTATGATTCTATGATCATGTTAGAGAAGGCTTGTAAACAGACTAGACTCCATTGCTGCTTCTGCCAGTCACTCAGTGGTAACCCTCAAACCTGTGAGCAGAGTCTGAGATCTGCAGTGGCTGAAGTGCAGCTCAGGGTAGGAATAGGGGCAAGCCCAAGAAGGCAGCAAGAATCCTTCAGGTTCCAATGAATCCTGGTCTTATGCATGGGCCTGCAGCAGGGTTTTCCCCATGGGTTTGAAACCTATTCCTAGGTGCTATAGTATAGAAATCCTGCTTTGGTCTTCCACATGCACTGACCTGGCTCCTGAGTGGGAGCTGCTCCTTTTCCAGGCAGTTCTGTCTTCCCAGCACAGCTGGTGTTTTAAGCAATAAAAGTCAGAATAAAGATAACTGTGTATAAACAAACAAGGAAGTAGGACTGTACCGCAACCTGACGTCACAGCCAAGGTTTGACTCACATCAAGAAGGATGAGAAATGTAGAGTTGAGGCCAGGGCTCAATCCTTTCCAGGTTTTTTTTTTTAAGATAAAAGATGCTAAAGGCGAGCATCCGTGGAAGGTAGTGGCTGGGGGGGGTTGTTGCCAATCTAGACATTAGTTATGTACTAGACGATCTGCTTCACTAATAGCTCATCACACTGCACATTCCAAGGGAGCTGCAGGTCTGGTATCTGTGCTATGAAGGCTTCATTTCACACTAGTGTTTGTGGAACCTTGCACACAACGCTGTAGCTATTCCAAAATGTTTTGAATTTTTTTTTCTGGTAAGTTTTCTGTGTGTGATGGTCATGTTTTTTTTTCCTGTCTTGCATTGTGACCTTTGTTCTGAGGCTAATTTGAGTTTTTTTTTCTAGAAGGTTGTTCTGCTTCCTGCATGTGAACAGGCATGCAGTCACAGATGTATGCATAGAGATGTCCAATGATTTTTTGGAAGTTGAACGTGAGACATCTTCAAAATGGACTTGATTTGCATAGTTGGGGCTTGCAACTTGTTATTTGACTCTTTAAGACATTTCATGTAGTGCTCCAAAACTGGGACACCCAAAACCTGTAGACCTCTGGAAGTCTTTGGCCTGAACCTTCATAGCAACCTTTCTGTCTGACCTGATGTTTTACTTTCTGGAAGAGCTCTGAAAAGGGCTATGTTGCAGGCATAGCTGCCTCTGCTGAGGAACAGGGCAGAAGCAGTCTCTAGCTTCCACTGTGAAAGCCCAGAAATCTGTAGCAATGCTTTCCAAAGGAAGGGAGTTGAGGAAAAGATTCACTCAGATATTACTCCGACAGCAAGAATTTTTCTTCCTCTCCTGTCTGTCTGCTGTAGCGAAGTCTTGCTTTTTCCTTAGATGTTATTAAACACCATTCCAATTCTTGGGATGCTGGCTGTCCTTCCCACGCTGATCTAGCAGCTTCTTTCCTGCATTAACATCTGCTTTCTTCATGGAAGGCCTGTGGCATTGGGGCATCTTGGGAGGGTTTGGTAGTGGTGGTGAAGTTCGAAGCACAGTATCAGTCACTTTCTGTCCTCCTTGCAGACTGAATTCTTGTTTATGTGCTCTTGGTTAAGTTTTAGGGAGAGAGGATCATGACTGTAATGCAATAATTAGGGAAGGAACGAGCAGGGAACCACCAGCTCCTTGCAAGCACACAACATAGCACACTTTCTCCCTGCTGGAAAAAACTCAGGGTTATTTTGGTCAGGGCTCCCTGCTCCTCTAGTGAAAGGTCCCCATGTCCTTAGCTAATGCGGACCTTCCTTCATGGCCCGTAACAAATAATCTTTGTCATTCCAAGTGAAGCAAGTTCGCCACTAGCTTGTACTGCTGCCAGCCCCTTGGAAGGCAATGCTGCGTCCCCTTCCACCCTGTATTTGCTGTAGTTGGAAGGCTAGAAGCTGAGGGGCTAGACTTACCCCAAGGTTTCCTTATACTTGTGCCAATTTTGTATTGTCCCCTTTTTTAAAAATACAGTGGGAATCTTATGACTAATGAAAAAAAAATTCTAGGTCACTTTTCGTGTTTTTTATTATTTCCTGTGTGACCGGGGTTTGTGTGAGTGGAGGTGTGTGTGCATCCGGTTCTGTATTAAACCTGCCAAGTATCAGGAGAGTAAGCTGCCTGAGATGCAGTGCAAGCATCTATATCCTCCCTGCTGCAACCCGTGGTATTGTCAAAGTATCCTAAGGGCTCACGTTGATCTTCGTCTGTTCGCGTTGTCACATCTCCTGGTTAAGATGGTAAATTCCTCCAGGCACTTGGAATTTGGATCCAGGACAAGCTTGAACATCATACAGCAGAAAGGCAAGATACTTTTTCTTTTGTTTTAATTTTGAAGTTATAAAACAATGTGTTTGGCACAATTCTGGAATGCAGGTACCGAATAGTTCTAACAATGCTGTGTAAAATGTTTCTTTTTATGTTTAAAATAAAGAGCGAGCCTTTTTGATTATATCTGTGCTGCGGGTTTGGATGTTTGAGTTATGGGCAGTTCTTTCCTTGTACCCTGCATGTATGCAGACACTATTGTTGAGGCAAGGGTATCCAATGTAGACCTTACAGTCCTGTTTCTGGCACTGTTTACCCTGTAAAACAATCATGAGCCCTGTTTTACAGCAGGCTTTAAATTTTTGCCTACATTTGTGTGATGAGCTGGGAAATGTACTTGTTTTCTGAGTCTATTCTGCTTCTACCTCACTGTAAGTCGACCTTTTTGCTGGAGGAATTTCCTTTTGATTACTTAGGGCCAGGAGTGACAGTTAAGAGTATGCGTTTAATATCTGCTGTAAAACCTGTGCCTTAGATGTTGAGTCTTCCTTGGACCCTTCCTGCGGATTCTCATTTTCACAATACCAGGAGGAGAATCAGTAATGTTGGAAGTAAACGACCTGCTTACCTTGCCAATGGCTGAATTTAGGATTTTTTTCTCCCATCAACCATGTAAGGACACCATGATAGTAGAGCAAGGAGGTGACTTGTTTTCCAGCAAGAAGTTGCTTGAGGCAGAAGTGGTTTTGGGAGGCTGAGAGGCTTTAGCAAGGTGGGTTTGTGTTCAGACCGGTGTGTGCTCTGTCCGAGATGGCTGCAGTGCAGGCCAGTTGACAGCAAAGTGTGTGCCTTTGGCTTCTTTCCAGATGGTGGTGTCACAGCTGACATGGAAAGATGTCCTCTGTAGCGTGTGCTTACAGGAAGCTGGGAGGTGGCACCAAGCTGTCAGTTCTTAAGGGGTGACAGGGACCATCAGCTGAGATAGAGAAATGTCATAAATGGTCTCTGATCCCTCAGCAGAGCCTTTGGCAGCTGCAGATGTTTTAACACATACAAGTCCATGAGTAATGAGAGGCATGCTTGTGGGACAGCAGTTGTTGGCCTCTAGCTGTGCAGGTTGCAGCTTACTGGTAAGTTCGGATAAGCTTTATGAAATCCTCTTGCCTCTCCCACCTCCTGGAATGGCCTGGATCTTAATACTGTTCTTGTAAGCATGCTAGGATTTTATCATAAAAAAGAAAGCCAAAACTTAAAGTCTGCAGATGAAGGGGGATAGTTGCAAGTAACTGAGTGTTGCAGGGAATGACGGGAGTTACCAAATCTCCAGCATCACCTTGTATCTGCCATAGGTTCAGCTCAGCTACCTGCCTATAGAGGTACCTAGCTGCCTGTTGTCAGAGACAGTCTGAAAAGTGCTTTTGTGCCAGAGCCTGAGACTTTAGGTGCTTCCATAGTGCCAGGCTCAGGCAATGTGCTGGCCTGCGCTTGTTCTACCACAGCGTAGTTGTGCTGCGATGGCTCTGGCTGACTGCCCTGCTCAGGTCAGGGCCAGTCCTAAAACCTCTGCTGGGCTGAAGCTGGCTGGTGTCGAGTAGAATGTACGAGAAGACCTGCTGCCTCTTTGTTGTGTGAAGGTGAAGCCCAGTCATGCAGATCTTCCAAGGAAATGTATGGCTTTTGCCTTTTCAGTGAGACTTTCTACGTTTCTTGATTGCAAGGGGCTGAGGTCTGCACAGCTGGAATCAGGACAGATGGTGTTTCAAGGAAGAGCCTTTAAGAAGTGATCGAGGCTGTGGGATGCACTAACTGAAGAAAAAGCCA